ATAAAAATTTGCATGTAAGGAATGAACAGTTGACAAAAGTACAACCAGTATAAATAATGACAAAATAAAAAAAGAAAAAATTGCTTTTGAACTATTTTCTATCTAATTTTCCTCTTTGTACGTAAATTGTGCCTATGGAAATAAATTCTCGTTTTCCTCTACATGTTTTCAGAGAAAGAGGTTTATTACGGATAACATCAAGACGTTTCAGCAAATAACTTTGAAGATAGTTTTAGTCACATATTAATTTCGTTCCAAATCGTAGTCTTGGAAAATTATTGTGTCGAGAACATAACATACGCAGCACACAAACTTATATTAGATGTAACATATCCTTTCATATGCATATGACTATTTAGTACTAATATAATGGAGAACGTCTAGGCACTTCATAATCGTTAGAATCTTCTAACTTCAAACAGTTGCGGCTCATTTTGGTATATTTTGTAAAAAATGAAAGAAGGTGTTTGTGCTTTTTGTGGATTTGACCAGTAGACTGGCAGACATAAGTATACAGATGGACCGGAAGATAACTAGACGAGTAGACAGGTAGACAGGAAGGCAAGCAGACAGAAGGACGAATTGACAAGAAGACGAATAGAAAGGAAGACGAATAGAAATCAAGACGAATAGACAGGAAGACGAATAGAAAGGAAGGCGAATAGGCAGGAAGACGAATAGAAAGGAAGGCAAATAGAAAGAAAGGAGAATAGAAAGGAAGACGAATAAACCGGAAGACGAATAGACCGGAAGACGAATAGAAGGGAAAATGAATAGACAGGAAGACGAATAGAAAGGAAGATAAATAGAAAGGAAGACATGTACAAGAAGACGAATAGAAAGGAAAACATGTAGACAAGAAGACAAGTAGACGGAAAAACAAATAGACAGGAAGACGAATAGACAGACACGGCAGGAATGCAGGAGAATAAGTATATAGGTTGACAGGTTAGAAAATAAACATAGGTTGGACAAGTGAACATACATATACATGTTCTGATATACAGATAAGCTGGTCGATTTATAGACAGGTGAACAAATTCCATTGACTGAAAGCGACAGAAAGTGGATTCGATTGTATTAATATTATAAACAATATTCAATTTAAATTTGTTTATCAGAATGTCAAACAAAACATAATTAATAATATAACTTATTCAATTGAGAATTTGCTTACTAAATGCGCCAAACGTAACATAAACTAATTTGTATACATAAAATTCATTATGCGGGAACCATTACGAATTCAGTTTATTTTATAAATACCGATAAACTTTGGGGAAGGTTATGCATAATTTCATTTATAATTCGGCAGCCCGACCACTAATTGTTTTTCACCCGATCAAGCGAAGCGCGTAATTTTCTCGAAATTATTATTGTGGAAAGTTTAGAGAAAAGTAAACCAAATTTTCCGAAACTCGATTCATTTGGGAGTTCGACTTTCAAAAAGTATTTTACGCCTTTTGTTTGCGTTCAACCGATATTCTAATTACAGATTCATTACGTTTTGTAACTTTGATAATAAACTAATGTTATTATCGTACGCAGAACGGGTACCTATGGATTACAGAGGAAAACTCGATACACTTGATTTTGTAGCTTTTCTTCGAGAACATGAGCAACTTTTCATATAATTAGATGACGTGGAAGAATGGAATAATAATGAAATCGTCGCTTATCAGGTTAAAATCTCTGAGATGCTATCTAAATGATCCTATCGTGGATAAATATTTAATAAAGTTTCTTTGCGATATAGTACCTGTTTACATTTTCACGAGCAAATTTATGTAAAATTATTTCAGGAGAAAATTATATTTGATGGGATGAAGAGTTTGCTATTCTTCGTGTGATTTATAATAGTAATATTTTGTTCGAGACTTTGTTAGTTGTAGGGAAGCTGCGATAATATTTATCATGCATAACTTTGATTTTAAGCTAATAGAACACCTACAGTTATGCAAAGTGTTTGGCTTAATTGAAACTTCAATGAACCCATTAATATTTTTCAAAGATTAAAACTTCTTATCTTTTATTTATTTTAATATTTTTGGGTATAGTAGCATCAATCTATACCTAATTAAAATTACATTTATTTATGAGTTATGAAATGGACTTCTTACATCAATGTATGCTAGCATGCCATTAGTTTTCTATTCTTGGAATAGTATTAAATTCCTACTTGAGCGGATTTTCAGAAAATAATTTCTACTCATTTTCTTGTAAAGTTCAATGAAGCGTGGTCTCACAAACGACACTCTGCTTCATATTACAATCCATTGCTTCCAGGAAACGTGTATCCTTGCGATCTTTGATATATGAAGTTAAAAGAACTTCTACATAATATAATTTTTATATACATACACATACACACATACAAACACACAGATATATGTAAGTTGTGTGCATATTATAAGTTCCATATATACAAATAATCTTCTAAATTTAGAAGCTTATGAATTAACTTTTGGGGGTTTGTGATAAGAAACTGAAAAAATTGGATTATTTGCATTTTCCTTGCTCTAAGGTTTACATGAATTTCGCAATATGTGTAAGCAAGCGATTTAATCAATAAATACTTTATTTAAACATAACTTAATTTTTAAATAGTTACTTGTTTCCCTGATTAAGTAACTGCCTGGCTAAGTATCTACCGATCTAATTTGTCAACTTGCCTAGTTTTGTACCTTCTTACTCGTCCACCTGTTTACCTGAACAGTTGTCTACTCATTTACCTGTCTATCTGCCTACCAATCGATTTGCTCACGAGGTGACCTGCCTACTTGTCTCTTATTTTACTTAGCTACTTGTCTGTCTACCTGACAACTTGCAAACTTGTCAACCAGTCAATGTGACTCACTTTGTCTATATGTCTATTTCCTTATAATCTACTTGTCTACTTGCCTACCTGTTTACCTGTTCACTTGGCTACCTGTCCACTCACCTACCTGTCTTCCACTTTTTAAGATACCGTGAAACGAGAATTGTTATGTTATATAATTAATTATAATACATGTATTTTTATGAATTCCGCGAATATTCAAAAACTCTCCTTTTTATCTCATGCATATCAAAAACGAATCTTTTACCAATGAATGTCGCTCCAAAAGTTGAGCTTTTTCTGGCGTCCGGAGTTCGGAAACAAATTCCAACAGTCATTAACTGAATTGTTCTGTTATTGTGCTATATGGTGAATTATACAAAAGTTACATCATTGTGTTTTGTCTCTGAAGCCCCATAATAGTGTGACAAATGGTCTTGTGTAAAAACTTATGTAACGAGTTTGCATTTGAATTAAATGTGGATGCTAAAATATATATCTACAGATGTCTTTTTGGTGAGGAAATAAATAGAATAAATTTGCTGCAATTATATGATATAAATTATCATTTCAAATTCACACCAATTTCATCTTAGGAGTTTGCAAACTAGAGTTAAGAACCGTCAACTTTGAAAATCGGAAGTCCGGTTTCGCGAAGAGACGGATCTGCAAATCTTGCTTCTCAGAAATGAGACTGGATCTCTGCCCAAGATCATGTGCATAATTGAACTAGAACTGTCTACAGTATACAAAAGTATGCAGGTGCATCATTTTTCGTAGAATTATTCAGTAGATCTGGAAAATTGTTATAATAAGCTCCTAGTTTTCTTACCCAATGACTTACATTGTTCCCAATATAACCTTTATTTTTCACCATTTTCTCTTGTATTTCCCTAAGATTGCCCTCAGATAATAAAACAAGCTTACCTGAAATCGATATATAAATTCATAATGAAACATTGTTTTCTCAAAGTTAAAAATCTTTTTCAATTTTATGTAGATAAATTATTAATTAGAAAATAACAAAACCTACAACAAAGTAATAGTTTGTAATGACTTAAGTTTTAGTTATTTACAGAGGCATTGCACAATGAAACTGATACGATTAATTTTGAACTTTACTTGTTACTACAATGTTTTGACACTAATGTGTAAGGTTCTGCAAGAAGCACAATACAAAAGTTTGCTGCATACATATATCAGCATTTTCGTAGGTTAAATGCATCCTGAAAACTTTTTACATTATTTCCAATTAAATTATACAAAAAACATAGTATGATATGAATTAAAATGTCATTTCAATTTCAAAGTCAATTGATAAAAATGAACTTATGATTGATCTATGAGATTACAAACGTAGATGTAAACTTTTGGCTCAATATAATTAACATTCTAAAGAAAAAATTTAATTTTGCCCAAAAATCCAACATAACAATATCATTCTTTGTTCATAACCAACATTTCAAAAGTATAAAAAACTTTTGTCGATATTTTTTTTGCTGCACTGATGTAAAATAATCAAAAGCCATTTGATCAAATCGAGTACCAACATTAGTCACGTCAGTGCTCCCAAGTCTCATCAGATGGCTTTTTAAAAATTAGAAAGGGGCTTAAAATTGTCCAAAAATAAAAAAAGACGGAGGTATGAAAATATTATTAATAATTTAAAATTTTATATTATATATTCAATCCTATATAATAATGATGGCGTACCAAAGATGGCGCGCGTGCGCTTCAATTTAACACACTACGCACAAGACAGTTTGTAAACGTACTAAAGTTCTGCAAGAACTCCGCAAAATTGTAAAATAATTATTGTTCTTTTAATTTTCTCAAGAACGGAGTTCTATCTTTGTGGATAGAACTCCAATCACAACAAACCATAACAACCAACTATCATATACATTAATCACGGTCTGATTTAATTATGTTGAGTGATTAAATTAAGTACGAGACGATGTTCTAGTAAACTTGGCACTTGACTAGAATTGTCCAAAATTTTAATAAAAACACGGAAGTATAAAAATATTATTAAAAATTTAAATATTTAATATACATATTGAGTATCACATTAGTGATACTGAGTATCAGAGATGCCGCGTGTGTGCTTCAATTTAACACACTACGCGCAAGATAGTTTGTATACGTACTAAAGTTCTACAAGAACCCCGAAAACTCCGTAAAATATTTATTGTTCTTTTAATTTTCTCAAGAACGGAGTTCTATCTTTGTTGATAGAACTCCAATCACAACAAAACATAACCAACCATCATATACATTAATCACGTACTAATTCAATTATGATCTTATCTTCTTATAACGTTCAAATTAAATTAAGAACTGCACGATGTTCTCGTCTGTTAAAGACACATCTCAAGAACTTAGTTCTTTCTGCATACTAAGAACTATAATAGCCAATGCATTCGCAATAGTTAATTTTCAATTATAAACGTTCGATTATAATGAAACAGAGTTCTATCAAGAACGAAATTACAAAATTATTAGCAATACTAGTTTTTGGTTCAAAACTAAAACATACAAATTAAAACTAAAAAGTTGAACATGCTTAACAAAAACTGAGAAGCATAAACAAATTGGATTTTCTGGCAAAAACATAAACTTCTTCTTTGGCATGTCAATAAGAGAGTAAACTTCACTGAAGTTATAATTGACCATCGATAAAAAAAATATCATAGTCATAATAATTGCATAACAAAATAATGAACATTGAGATCATACTTATTACCTACTATACATTTGTTATCAATTAGGCATCATTAGAGAGTAATAGCAATTAGTACTAATTGCATATAGAAGCAATAAATAAACAATCCCTACTATTAGGTTAATATAATTCGATAGAAATTACACCCTTCTCTTAACTTTATATAGGCTCACAATTTCACCAAATGATGATATTCAGATGGTGGATAGCTGATATTTAGCTCTTGACCCAACTTGGATGAGATAATAAAAGCATTTTAAGTGTTCATGTTCGCCGGCGACGCCGTTTTCCTCGTAATATCCAAACGCATTTAATGAGATCTTGAAGGAATCTCGAAACAAAACAACTCCGAGTATTAAATTGAAAGAACTAAGTTCGTTATAAGAAAAACACTGGGTTTGAGGAGAATTGCTTTGAATAAAAGACATAGAAGCAAATAAGGGTAGTTAGAGTTTTTCTTTAAATTTGATAATTTTAATGAGATACTTATTGTAAATAAAAAATCTAGTAGTATTTGACATTTCTTATTAGAAAATTGGCTAATTTTAGTAAGGTTTTTAGAACTGTATAATATGAAGAATGACAAACCTGTCAGATGTTGAGCGTCATTGCCACAGTCTTGTCGCAGTAATACGTTCAAACGTGTATCTCGCCTTCAAAAGTTTATTTCCAGGGTGGATTTGTCTTGTTTTTTGGGAAAGAAATTATTTATTTCTAATAAAATCAATAAACTTATTCTAGTTCTAGTTATTTCGATAAACTTTATTCTAATTATCAGGTGTTTGATTTCATTGTTATTTTTGTTCACTTTTGGACAAAATGACATAATGGATTGGCATAGTACTATATCGCAAGCATTACATAGCCAAAAAAAAAATTAAAACCTGTCGAAGGTAATTGGCATTTATCATGTACTCCAAGTAAACAAGAAATAACTGTTAAAAACAGACCAAAGTATCCACCGGTAAAAAGGTGAGATTTTGCATTTGTTGCAAAATTGTCTTTTTCCATTCTGCACCCGGTAAAGGTTGGTCACGATGCATGATTAGTCCTTTGGGCTTATATTTTATGTAGTGATGAACCAAAGAAGACTAAAACGATTTATTTGTAAACAGTCTTTTTGAAGAATTGTACCTCAATAACCGAAAATGCAGTCAAAAAATATATTTATCTCTACAAACATAGTTCTACATAAGTATCATTATACTACTATAACTTTATTACCCTCTCGCTGTAAATCATTCTGATCCATATGCATCGATTGCACAGTAGATTGCAACCCAACAACAGATAATAATTATTCGAACGTCATATATATATATATATATATACATATATATATATATATATATATATATATATATATATATATATATATATATGTATGTATAATATGGCCCAGTTTTGCCGGAAGCTTTAATGTCGACGATATTATATTGGACGAGAAGTAATGCACCTGAGGTAGCTGCTCCACGTCAATATACACAAGTTGGTGCAATCAAGTTTACGGAAATAATGGTTTTGCTAGGATGCTCTGTTGCACCAACCAACCAGTCAATAAGTTAACTTTGTTTAGAAACTTGATACAAGAGAATTTATAAACTATATTAAGAAGATAATAGCTTTGAATTTGATAGTTATGAAGAATTTTAATGGAATATTATTTTGAGATGCATAATATATAAGTAAATCAATCAAAGGAGCCTCCGGTGAAATAGACCGTAACATAGCGTTGCCATAACAACGCTACTTCTTCTTATAAAATGGTAGTTGGTGCAGTCAGGCTTTTTAGAAATAAAACCTTACCTAGAAAATCCACAAATATCAAGAAAGAATGTTATCATAACTACATCTTTTTGACGTGAATTCATAACACATATGTAAACTTAGGTTCTATGTGAAAACGCCTGATCGCACTGCAAATCCATAGCTTTTTGGGAAGTCTTTAACACCATTTTACAAGAAGAAAGGTAGATATTCACAGACCTTACATTGCATGGTCTGCTAGTGCAGCGCAAAATAAGAGTATAAAGATAGAAAGAGACTGTAACGCCACTTGCTAAACGAGCGTTGCCGACTATTGTAGAACACTTCCGATTGACAGCAATTTAATAATTTCAAACACACGATTCAATTCTAAGTTAGGCACGTGAATATAATTATGACATTTGACATTTAATCAATCGAGAGTGTTCCTCGATTGTCGGTAACGTTCGATCAGTAAGTGACGTCACAGTCCCCTTCTAATTTTATACACTTCATATAATGGAAAACCTATGAGGACTAGGAGTCCATGTAATGTAAGGTCCATGTCTATATTACCAGAGAACTTACCTCAAAGTCTATTTTGCAATGATCGACGATCAGCATGTAACTCCAAATTGCACTATCTACAACAATATGAGAAAATTATCCCACTAGCTGTTGCACTAAAGATGCTATCAAGTTTTAGGTGTCATGCATAACAAAAGGCTATTTGCATATTCGATTTGTCTAACAATTAGCAATTTGAATACATAGTCAAGTTCATCTCGGTGCGAAACTTAATATTACATACTAGGTTGTATTACACACAACAATTATATGGTTGGTTAATAACAGAACAAGTATTTGATAGGAAGTGAACAATAATTGCATCAGAAGTAATAACAATTATTAAAATACTAAACAAATTTTGCTTTGACAACCATTGACAAAAAAGAGGAATGGGAAGAAGAAGAATGCAGACGATTGACGACCTACGTGAGAAGAGAAAATACTAAAAGGGAACTGAAAGCCGAAGCACAGGATCAAGGAAAGGAAAATACATGAAAAAAGGGGGAGGTATAGTGGGTATGATAGACAAAGGGCAAGGAAATCATTTGTTTGTGGTGTGATCTCATACCATGGACCTGCCTTTGGGCAGACTACGATTTATTATTATACCTATGACAAATAATTGTCTCACAAAGTTTTCATCAATAGGCAACGATGTCAATTAGCCAACGACTCATGTTGGCGCATTTTGAAGTCGTCTATTTATTTGGATATGATAACTTATTTTATATAGACTTTTACTGATACTTTAGATTTTTACTTCTCCACTACCATTGTCTTTCTAAAAAACCTTTGCTCACCCACAAAGTATAAAACCCAACTTCATTAATTTTATCATAACTCAAAGGCATCGAACTAAGTCTCGTCATAAAACTAATATATAAGATGACATTGTATATTTCATTAGATTTCACGTCGGCTCGGAGACAATTTTATTCTCTGTGGTACCAGTTGGCTGAACAAAATGCATTAAGCAGAATTAAAAATTGGCTGAACAAATCAAATTAAATCTTTGCTTTGATTTTATGTAACACATGTCGCCAGCAGCGCCTAGTCCAATAGCTTTGAGTGTCGAGAAGGACCTAATTGAATATTAAAGCTTCGGAGATGAAAAAAGCGATCAGATGAGGGAAAAGCGGGTGAAAGATCTGATCATGTACATGAGTTTGATTGAAATAGTAAATGAAAATAGTTTTTTCATGTGTATATTTTTAACAGAGTTTGTTGGTGGATCAAAATTACAAAAAATTAAGGAAACAATACTCCTATCCTAGCATGACTTGAATAATGTTTTAGGTGTCAGTAGCAAATAAAGATTTAATTCAGTTAAAAAAAGCAGTTTTACAAGAGTTAAATTAAATAAAAAGTTATTGCTACTCTGCGAAAGAATATTTCTGACCAAATACCAGAACAAGGTTATGTACATATCTCTATGAAAAATGTACCCATAGAATTTATATTTTGCATTGGTTGAATAATGTAGTTATTATTTGTATAATACCTTTAAACTTAAAAATAAGTCAATAGTCTTGTTTGGTCATCCCATTTTAACAAATTTTTGAAAAACAACAAAAATTTTTACGATAATGAATTAGCTGGGAATTTTACTGAACATGGTCAGATACGTTTGATTTTTGTTATTTATTGTGGTATAATTGGTTTGGTTTTCACAATATGATTGCCCAAAGTCAATTTTAATAAAAATGACCAAATCCATGATATATATAATGATGAAATAATACCAAATGACCCTGTTCTCACCTACATCGACGTCCAAAAATTCTAAAAGAATAAGAATAAAACACGAAGTAAGTGGCTGTTATCTATATAGAATTGTTATATGCGATCCATTATGTGTCTGGAGCTTTTAAGGAATGATGTAATGAAAGAAATTAAATTGAGGAGGGTATACTTTTAAAAGCATTGGGATATCTCAATAAATAATAAGGTTACATCGATCATACTCTGAAATGGCATTAATATTGAGAAAATTATATTTATCGATGAGATAAATTGTTTTTTATAAGGCACTTTGTGAAATAAAATTTGAATATTTAAATTATGTACTTAATATGATTCAATTCAATTTGGTTCCATAACTCTGTTTTGACAAAAAAAATAAAGAGGTCTGTTGGGTTTTTTCTGAAGAAACTTGAATAAAGAATATTTTTAGAGTGCTCAAATTTCATCACAGATTAGATTTTAT